AGCAATGGCATATGCTATGGAAAATTAACCGAACGCTGACGGGAATGCTGGATCTCGTAGTTTGGCAAACTTCTAGAGGGAGAATCCTACTACCTTCAAGGGTAAGTATGATCCTGACGGAGCGTTGGATTGGTTGAAAGAGATTGAGAGAATCTTCTGTGTGATGGACTGCACTCCAGCACAGAAGGTTCAATATGGTACTCACATGCTAGCAGTCGAGGCTGATGACTGGTGGCTAGAGACTTGTCAGAAATTAGAAGCTGCAGGTGAAAATGTCACTTAGGTTGTGTTTCGTAGGGAGTTTCTGAGGAAGTATTTCCCTGAAGACGTTCGTGGTAAGAAGGAAATTGAGTTTCTTGAGCTGAAGCAAGGGAGTATGTCGGTTGTTGAATATGCTGCAAAGTTTGATGAGTTGGCTAAGTTTTATCTGCATTATAGCGAGGCAAATGTTGAGTTTTCAAAGTGCATCAAGTTTGAGAATGGGTTGCATCCAGAGATCAAGAAGGCAGTTGGATACCAGAAGATTAGTGTATTTATTGATTTGATTGATAGTTGCAGGATTTATAAAGAGGAAAATAATACTCACTATAAGATTATCAATGAGAAGAGGGGTAAGTACCAACAGAATTGTGGTAATCCTTATGATGCCCCAGCTGGTAAAGGTAAACAGAAAGTGGCTCAAGGTCATAGGACTAGTGGGGGAGATGCTCCTTCTAGTGTTGTGTGTTTGAAATGTGGAAAACCTGGTCATATGAGAAATGTGTGTACTGCTGAGGTGAAGAGGTGTTTCTGTTATGGTAAGACTGGACATGCTATATCTGAGTGCAAGCATAAAGAGATGATTTGTTTCAATTATGGTGAAGAAGGACACATTGGTAGTCAGTGTCAAAAACCAAAGAAGGTGCAAACCAGTGGAAAAGTGTTCGCGTTGGCTGGGACTCAGACATCTAATGAGGACAGACTCATCAGAGGTACATGTTTCATTAATAATACTCCTTTAATTACTATTATTGATACTAGTGCTACCCATTGCTTTATTGTTGTTATTGTATTGAAATATTGGGTCTTATGTTGTCTTCTATGAATGGAGAGATGGTCGTCGAGATTCTGTCTAAGAGATCAGTGACTACTTCTCTTATGTGTTTAATGTGTTCTTTGTCGATCTTCGACAGAGACTTTGCTGTTGATTTGGTTTGTTTTCTGTTAAGTGGGTTAGATGTGATCTTAAGTATGAATTGGTTAGAACATAACTATGTTAATATTAATTGTTACAACAAGTATGTGAGGTTTTATACTCCTGAAGAGGAAAAAGCTGGTCTGTTGTCTACTAGACAGTTACGACAGTTGATGCAAGAAGAGGCTCATATGTTCTCGTTGATGGCGTCGCTATTTGTCGAGAATCGAGCTATAATTGAGGAATGGCTTCCAAATGGAGCCATGAAAATTATTAACAGAAAAAAGATCTTCAAATTGTCTCATGGAGAATACATTGCTGATGTGACATAGATTTCAAATACAATTACAAAGTGTTTTGCTCTACGTCGTCAACTGACAATTTTATTGACCCCTTCTGAGATTTATGAGAACTGTATATGATAAGCATGACACAAAAGCTTTGAGAGGTGGAAGTCAGTTACTGTTGGAAAACACTCATGTTCTACTCCATGACCACAATGAGATGATTCTTATAATATATTTTGCGCTTATTTAATTATTTGACGCCATGCGGGCATGCCTACAGATCATGTCACTTTCTCTGCGATTATACATTTGATTTGCGTTGACACTTTTTGCCCAGTAGGTTTTTGAAGTTGTATCCTAATGCCATGCACCTTATTTTAGAGTTTAACTTCGACTTATGTGTTGTTTCTTCTCTATGCAGTATCTCCACAAAGATGAATACTTGAAAGGAATCAAAATATATGAGTCAATTATTAAGGCATATGCATCCTACGATGAACATGTAAAAGATTAATTATGAACATCACATATTCAATTTGATTGCAAACATTTATCCTTGGTTACAAAGTCAACTTATCTTATTTAGTTACAATATCCAAAACATGAAATAATTGAAATGTAGAATGGCGAATATGAATTAAATTATGCAATCAATGAGTACGAAAATGTGACATCGGGAATCAAATGGCATTCCATATTATATTACTTATCATATGGTGTACTATTAAACAAAGTCACAAAAAGGGGCCTCAACTCTAAAAGCTTCATAATTGTCATGCAGCAGATCAAGAACTATGCAGAAATGGTTCAAAGAAATAATTGGATAGTGGCCACAAACACAATATATGAGAATCTGCTACAAGTTAGAATTTGAATATTAAATTCACAAAATTTGAATATTGGTGTTATGCTTCTTAAAGCCAGCGAGTCTGTCAGCAAAATACTTGAGGCATGCCAGTTACTACAACAACAACAATAAACATCATATCTTGTCGTTGGTAAGAGTAGAGTTGACCGCCAAGAAAATCTCCATGTTTGTTAATCATTTGTATTGTAAATATATTTATATCATACATATTTTCATAACTAAGAATATGTTAACATGGAGATTTGGTCCACGTTCTGTTCAAGACCATCATGTCACATGTTATATTTTTTATTTACTTTTGCTAATCCTCCATTTACAACTCATGCTGGTGGGACTAGTATCTTTTAGTGCGGATCTTTATAGATACCCTTTTGTTTACTTTTATGAAAAATGAATCTTCTTTTTATATTTGATGTAAGCTCTTTTGTTTATACAATTATCATAAGGATGTGTTTCTATTTGTTTACTTGAATTGAGCTTTCGTCGACATGGTTATTATTAGGGTGAAGTTGTGAAGTTATCGCCCCATGCTCATGCCATTAGAGACTTAGAAGATGAAGAGCTATAGAGTTTTTTCTATGGCATGTCTCCTTTGCAGGTAATTTGATATAACTTGGTACTTTTTGTATGATGAATTATCGTCGGTCTATTGCAACTGTTAAAGTTGATGGAATTGATTTTAATTTACAGTTTATACTGATGGTTATTGCAAGTTCAGTGGGAGAGGAACTCTTCTATAGAGTTGCAATTCAAGTTTTTTTCGGAACCTCTGTGCCTGAACTTTATCGTATTTGCCTAGAGATGTTTGAGAAATATATTTAGATTTGCTTCAAATTTATATTGTATGTTTGAAACCATCTATATTTAAATTCTTATTGGAATTCTACAGGGGGCACTGGCAGATATATTTTTACAAGGCAGTAATCTTATTCAAGATGTACGAGGAATGGCGTCTTAGGTACGTCTACCATTTTATTTATGTTTCAAATATTCTAAACTAAGTTTCATTTCGGTCACTAACTCGCAATTTATACAGTAATATGCAGACAAGAGTTCTACCACCATTTGTTCCATTTGCTTAAGCACTCGCAACTGTACTTACCGCTATCCTTACTGGTTCTCTCTATTATGTCGCTACCTCTCCTAAATGTTACTTTTTTCGTATATCCCATTTTATATTTTCTCTTTTATGTAATTGTTTTTTTTTAAGTTTGTTCACCTGATTAATAATAAACATCTTTTTTCTCGCGCTCTTACAGATCCTACCTATATTGTTGTGCCGATTTTACAATCTCGCGCAAGTCGGCAAGATTTGAAAAATATCTTCGAAAGTTCTATTCTTTTCTCTCAAACTGTTGAATATTATACTCACTTCATATCTATGTTCCAGTTCTTCATCCATAGAATCGTGTTATATGTAAAATAAAGTCTCGAGTAATTATATATGTCGTCTTGATACCTGTGCATTTTTGTTCTTGTGATACATCAACCCGATAATCTATTTCATTTTGGTTTGCAACCTGGTATGAGAAAAGGCAAATGACGAAAATCTATTCACCACTTCTGGAAGGACTATTGGCTCTCTACCTCGGTTTCAAGTGGATCCAAGTAATAATTTCATCTTTGGAAAATATTTGTTATGTTTTGCCTATGATTTCTAAGCAACTAAACTAATTTGTGTTACTTGACTGACAAATAATATTCTTTCTCCCATTATCACACATGGAATTTACTCTAGTGTTATATTGGGATATGACCTTTGGAAGATATACGGAAAACTACGACAAATAATCCAACAGCTGAAATCAGAAGAAATAAACTCCAACTAGATTTTGAAATTTCATCCATGACTGATTTTTGTTGAAATCTATATATGTATTAGAGGAGTTAATAATGTAAAGAGAATATGTGTATACTTATATGTTAGCTAAGTTCTCATACCTACATAATATGCAAAGTTTTGATTACAAGATTCTCTAATTGGATCATTAGTGTCTATAATAAAAATTGGAGTAATCCAAAAGTTGTGTTAATTTGATAAAACAACATATCAATTTTCTCAACTCTTAACATAACTTCTAATGTACATAATCATATTATATTGTTGGAACACTTTTAGAAATAAGAGTGATTTATCATAATTATGTGGTAAAAGATATAATTTTTATTGTAAAAATTATGAGTTATTTTGCAACAAAATTATTTTAAATTATAAATTACATTATAATTTAATGTATCATTAATATTTTTTTTATATTATATATATTTTTTAATTATTTAATAACAATATTGTAAAGTTATATATAATATTATTTTTCTTGAAATTAATGTTTTTGGAGAAGAATATTTTCCAAAAAAAAATTAAAAAAAGGTAAATTTATTTCTCTTATTTTATATTTTTATTATTTTATTTTATTATTTTATTTTATTTTTTATATAAAATAAATTATCTAAAACAAATGAACATATACCAGTACTCATACAGAAACACCTGTATCCACCAGTTATATACATACGTGTAAAATCCCAAGTTGCTTACAATCAGTCACACACAAAACCACATCATAGCTTAAACCAAAACTATTTAAACATCTATAGTACCAACCACATTTATCATTCACTTCACTCCACACTGTATCTCCCCACCTCCCTCTTGTCATCTCCTCAAAACATGGAACAGGTTCATGTCCCTGTAGAAAACGCAATTCAACTAACCACTTCCATTTCTTCTTCCTCCATTGAAGATAATAACAATAACAAAACCAAACCCAAAGGTGATGGAAAACACCCATTATACCGTGGAGTTCGAATGCGTCACTGGGGAAAATGGGTTTCAGAAATTCGAGAGCCCAAGAAAAAATCCAGAATCTGGCTCGGTACTTTTCCATCACCAGAAATGGCGGCCCGAGCCCACGACGCTGCGGCCCAAGCCATCAAAGGTAGCTCGGCTTACCTCAATTTCCCCGAGTTAGCCGACCAACTTCCACGCCCGGCTACTAATTCTCCTAAGGATATTCAAGCCGTCGCCGCTAAAGCAGCTGCCATGGGCTATCTCCATGAACCCCAGGCCCAGTCCCATGTTGAGGAGGATGACATGTTTTATGACCTCCCTGATCTGTTACTCTATTCGAATAAGAACTCAAGTGAGCTTCATTACTCTGAGCCATGGCTTGTGGCTGGAGCTGAACATCCAAGCTCGGACTTTGGGCTGGATGAGCCATTCCCGTGGGCGCCATACTAATTTTGTTTAAGGTTAAATTATTTCTTGATGTTATAATTTTACCATGTATATTAAAATTAAATAAAAATAATCTTCGAACTAAATTCTTTTTCTCTCTCTCTAGAATGGTAGTTTTTTTTTTTGTGGAGAAATCTACTGTGTAAAAATAAACAAAATCATGTGTAAGTTATGCATTTTGATTTTTTTTTTTTAAGTTTGACTGCATTGAAAGTAATCAGAAAACACAATGTTAAGTTTTTATCATATCATTTTTATGTAAAAGTTTACATCCTCCGTTTCTTTGTTAATGTAGATTTAATTATGTTTATAAAAATCAATGAAAATAAGAATATATGTTTAAAAAAATTCAAAAAAATAAACATGTATCTTATTATATTAAAATAATTATTGTAAAAATATTTTGGAAATTGAGTCACCATATTTTTATTTTTTCACATATTTATTTGAGAATGTGTCATTAAGATAATATTTAAAAATAATAATAATAGAATATATATTTTTTAATTAAATAAATTATTTTTTTCTGTGATGCTAATGTTGATTGTTATTGTATCAATTTTTTTTCTAAAATAATTAATTGTGATTTAATGGTATAAAATTATTTTATATTAAAAAGTTATCATTCAGTCGTGTTAAATAATTAATTTAAAAATATTAATACAATTTAATATAATACGATAATAATTGATTGATAAAATAAATATATATTTTTTAAAATAAATTAATATAATATTAAACTTTGAGTGAATGTACTGAAATAGTAATAAATTTTTGATTTATTATAAATTATTCTTATTATTATCAAACTAAATAAATTGTTTTACTAGTTAGTAAAGAATGCAACAGTATCCTATGTATTCCTGTGAAAAAGTACTCATACTATTATTTATTTCAAAAATATTTTTTAAATAATAAATTATTTTCAATATTTTTAGAGTATTTAAGTTTTACTTTAGATAAAAATGAGGATTTGGGTGTGTTTAACTTTTATATATATATATATATATATATATATATATATATATATATATATATATATATATATATATATATATATATATATATATATATATATATATATATATATATATATATATATATATATATACACTTAGATGCATTTAGTTTCTTGAATTTTATATAAAAGTTATACTGTTGGCCTACCCCATTCATATTGGTTATCTCCCAATACTATCGAATTAATGTAAGAATGTGATTGGAATATTAATATTAAAGAAAATAGGTTTATAGTGAGACCTAGGCTATTCTTTGTAAAAATTTTAAAATTTATAAGAATGAAATTTTATCACATAAAATATATATTTTTAAAATTATATATTAATTCAAAATTTTAAGATATTAAATTTATATATTTTTTCACTTAAAAAATGTCCAACATTCTCTTTAAATTTTTTTTAGTTAATATGTGATTTTAAAATCTTAATTTATGTGGCAAATTTTCTGTTATCAATCATTTGAGGTAAATTACTCCAAATTTTAGAAGGAGTAGTCAAAAATTTACCAATGTTTATTTGTAAGAAAAGTGAAAACAAGAAAGAAAAGAATGAATCTCAAACATTCATTATCATCACTATCTCATTATTTCTATTAAAAAGAAAATTAAATTTATAATAAATTAAAAATTATCTCTAAAATAATGACAAATTTTCTTCTTCAAATTATTTTATAATTGTCGCGGCACTAAATATACTTGAGCATACGAAACACTCGAAATATAACATAATTGTCACCGAAATTTATTTATTTCAAAAAGAAAGGAAAGATATTGATAAAACTCTTAAAAAAAAAACAAAAAAATAGTCGTCACAACTAAATTAGAATTCAGGAGTCGGTTTTGTGATGGAAATGTATTAGCATGTACCAATGTTTACAAGGGATAGCCAATAATTTAGCAATGTTTATTGGTGTAAGAAAAGTGAAAACAAGAAAGGAAGAATGAATCTCAAACATTCATTATCATCACTATCCCATGATTTCTATTAAAATAAAATAAAATTTAAAATAAATTAAAATTTATCTCTAAAATAATGACAAGTGTACATTCTTGCGTTTCTTCTTCAAACTATTTTGTAATTGTCGCAGCACGAAAATTACTCGAGCATACGAAACACTCGAAATATAACATAGTTGTCACTGAAGTTTATTTATTCCAAAAGAAAAGGGAAGATATCGATAAAAATCTTAAAAGAACAAAAAATGGCCATCACAACCAAATTAGAATTCAAGAATAGATTTTTCAATGAGAAGGTATTACCACCCCACACATTTGTTGTACTCAATGAGAATCATTTAGTTAGTTTTGTGGAAAAGTGTTAGCATAAATATTTGTTTTTTTTCTATGCGAGTTATTATTGTCGCATGATTTCTATGCGAGAAGGATATTTTTTAGATTTTTATTATTGTGCCTGATGAGACGTTGAATCTCACTCCTACGTATTCCCAGGTGCAATGAGAAACTCAAGACTACGTAGTTCTGAGTAGTAAATATTTATTTTTTGGTCGATTTTATTGAAAGGTACTTGATCGCATTTGAAAGGAAAACATTGCTTGCTACCCAAAACATGGGAAAGTAAACATTTGCATCGCATCAAGAATGGACAACATAATCTGGATTCTCGCAGAATTATATTCTCGTCGCACTCTAGCGGAAAAAGTTACTACTCGCACGTGGTAGTGTTGTACCCCAAAATTTTCCCTCCCTTTTCTCAAGATATTTCCCACAAGGATCTTCAATGATTCAAGCTTGCACAAGTATTGACTAGGTCAAGCCATCTCCTCAACATTGATGCCTCAAGTTAGGGTTTGAGTTTGCACAAGGACAGTTGTTAGACTTCTAATATTTCAAATGACTTTCATGGATCATTATGGACCCTCAAGATTTCTCCTGTCAAGTTTCATGTCTTGGATCACAAAATTGCTCAGTCAATTAATCAGATGGCCTAAAATCAGTTGTATTGGAAAAAAGTCAATTGTGGTCAACCTACAGTCAAACTTCAATATTTTGGACCAATATCAATATTTTGAAGTCATATGTATCATTTGATCAAGATTGGATCACAATTCTCAAAGAAAATTGTTCAAATCATCAAAAGGGCAAAATGGTCAAAATTAGGGTTTTTGATTGAGAATGGCCAATCTTTGACTTTTTACCTAGTACCTGACTTATTTGATTGAAACATGATCTCGAGGATTCAAGTACATCATTTTGACCTAATTGCATATTTCATTCATCTCCCGAGATCAGTGGATTGATAGATGAAATTTGGTCAACTGATGAAAAAAAGTCAATTGTACACTGAAAAGTAAAACTTTGACTTTTTGATAAAATTTTAGTTTCAAAGATTACATTTCATCAAGACATTCAAAAATATGAAATTTGATCATCAAAAAATTAAGAAAGTCAAAAATCAAACTTTACAAGACTTAGAAATTTTTCTAAGTGTTTTTTTATATATGTTAATTTCATTACTCCATGACATCTTTTCACCATAATTCAAGATAATTCAAGTTGTTACAAGTTTTAAAGTAAACAACAAGGCTACATTTTTAAGTTAAAAAATTGCAAGTTACAAATTCTAAGCTTTGTCTTGTTTAAACTTTTCTCTTTGACCCAATCTTCAAACTTTTCCACTATGTTGTCCACAAATATGCCTTGTCTTTGTTACAAGCTACATAAATCTGTCCACAAAACCAGACCTGCATCATGCTACATATCCTTTTGTCCAAAACATGCATAGTAATGCCAAGAAAACTTTCAAAACCTGCTCCAAAACCTGAAATGCTTCCCTACAAAATCTGCATCATATCAGTCCCATATTTGCACAAACTTAGCATATAAGAGTTGCATCTAAAAAGCAACGAAACAGTGTACCAAAACAGTTTAAAAATTTATCTATTTCCCTCCCAAATTTCAGTCAATTTCATATATAAATAAGCTGTTTCACAACACACAAAGGGAGAGGTTTTGAGAGAGAAGAGGGGGGAGAAAGAGAAAAAATATTATTTGGAAAACTTAACAGAATTCTCTGTAAACTCTACTCATCTTCATCTCTATTTTCATTCACAAAACAAAAACTGAAAACAGAAAAAACCTTTACCCATTGTACAACCTTGCAAGTTTTCCCCTAAACAAACTATCCAAACACTTCACATACATTATATAGAAGTTGTTCAAACACAAAATAAACTTCTGTAACATCACTATTTTCCAAACTAAAAAACAGCCACATCCAACTTGACTTCTCCAAGACAATACAACAACTCAAACTCAAAACATAAGTTTCAGTTTCAAGGTAAGTTTTCTTGATTTTGAGCTCTTCATACAAGCATCATTAATGGTTAATTTATGAATATAAAATGTAGATATCATAGCCTTGAAGCTAACTATATGCTTATTTTTCATTTTTCACTAACCATGTGTTGAGAACTAACTTATATATGTGACAGAACAATGTTAGAAGGAAAAAAACAGCAGTATGAGTCGATGCATATCTCTATGAGTCGACACATATATGGTACAAAATAGGTTATGAGTCTATGCATATCTTTATGTGTCGACACATATTAGGTACAAAAAAAGTTATGAGTCGATACAAAACACGAATGAGTCGATGCAAAACAGAAATGTGTCGATACAAACCATTATGTGTCGACTCATATTGAGTTGGTTTTGATTTCTAGGAGAAAGAAATGATATGTGTCGATGCATAAGTGTATGTGTCGATGCAAAAAAGGTTATGAGCCAACACAAACCTTTATGTATCAACTCATACTGAGTCAGTTTTGACTTTCAAGAACAAGGAGTGATATGTATTGATGATAAGTGCATGCGTCAATGCGTAAAAGTTTTTGTATCAATGCATAAGTGCATGTGTCAATACATAAAAGTTTTTTTTAAAAACAATTTTCCTTTTTTTACATTATCTTTATTTATCTTTACATTCTTGTATATTATTTATTCATTCAATATGGTTGTAATA